TTGCAGTATCTTCTGGTATATGTGAGCCAAAGTATCTTTGAGAAGTTCTACAGTAGGTGCGGACTTGCTGAGTCATGGGAGATGGAATGTCCATCTTTGGGGATGATGCTGAAAACTGAGGGCAGCGTTTCAGGGACAGCAAATGCCCATCAATGCATACTATGCCGTGCTAAGCACACTGTGACCTCAGAGGCTCTGATGTTTGACATTTGCTGCCTCTGAAGACTTCCCTGACTGTGCTCCATGTGCTTTTTTTTTTTGCTGCTCACCATTCTCATCTAGCTCTTTTGTGGAGTTGTTTTATTTTTTGTGCCCTTGTGCCCCAGCCTGGACATAATTCCTTCCCAGTTGAATTCAGTAGCAGCACGTTAATTGCACCTCCTACGGAACAGTTAGTGTGAATGTGGTCTCCCACACTAGACTTGGACTCCAGCGTCTGGGCTCTGCCAGTTGCTAGCTGTTTGGCCTTGGGCAAGTCACTTCACAGCTTTTAACTTGAGTTTCTACACCTGAGGGAGCTGTGAGAATTCCTGTGCCTTTGTTCATTATATGGTGGCAAAGAAGAGGAAGTCACTCGTAGGTGCTCAGCAAAACTGAAATTAAAAGGAAGGATTTCTTTTGCTTGTTTTTTTCTTTTTAAGTTCTGGGGTACATGTGCAGGATGTGCAGGTTTGTTACATAGGTAATCGTGTGACATGGTAGCTTGCTGTAGCTATCAACCAATCATCCACGTATTAAGTCCAGAATGCATTAGCTGTTTTTCCTTATGTTCTCCCTACCCCCCACCCCACTCCCTGACAGGCCCCACTGTATGTTGTTCCCCTCCCTGTGTCCATGTGTTCTCATTGTTCAGCTCACACTTGTAAGTGAGAACATACGGTGTTTGGTTTTCTGTTCCTGCATGAGTTTGCTGAGATAATGGCTTCCAGCTTCATCCATGTCCCTGCAAGGGACGTGATCTCATTCATTTTTATAGCTGCACAGTATTCCATGGTGTATATGATACCACAGTTTCCCTATCCAGTCTATCATTGATAGGCTTTTGGGTTGATTCCATGTCTTTACTATTGCAAATAGTGCTGCAATGAACATACATGTATATGTATCTTTGTAATAGAATGACTTATATTCAAAAGGAAGTTTAAATAAGAACTGGAGAAATGACAGCTGCTCCAGCATGATGGACAGCACTTCGGGGCCCTGGTGCCAGACCCTGTGCCACTCTACTTCTCATTCATCATCAAGCAACTTTCAAGCAACCACTATTTGCCACACTATTCTAGGTGCTTGGAATGTGGCCGGGAATTAAACAGAGATCCCTGCCCTGGAGGGGCTGATACTCCCGTGCAGAGAAAGAAAACAAAATCAATGAGCAGAATAAATGGGGGAAGTAAAGGATTCAAGGTAATGAGTACTTAGAAAAGAGAAGGAGCGTGGACGTGGATTAGGGCTGTTGAGAGAGGCTGGGGGTGTTGCTTGTTAAATAGGGTGAGTAGAGAGGGCTTCAGTAAGGTGGTGGGATTTGGAAAGGTTTGAAGAGGTGAGGTGTGGGTGTCTGAGGGACGTGTTCCAGCAAAGAGAAAAGTGGACAAAGGCCACAGAAACGTGGCTTCTCCTGGACACCTCCTAAAGCCCCGTAAGTAAGGGAGAGGGACGGACAGAGGCCATCATAAAACCAGGTCACAAAGGAGGCGTGGCCATCATAAGCACTTTCATTTTCACCCTACAGGAAATGAAAAGTCGGCCGGCCTAGAGCGGTGGCTCACGCCTATAATCCCAGCACTTTGGGAGGCCGAGGTGGGCAGATCACCTGAGATCAGGAGTTCTAGACCAGCCTGACCAACATGGTGAAACTCCGTCTCAACTAAAAATACAAAATGAGCCAGGCATGGTGACGCATGTCTGTAATCTCAACTACTCCAGAGGCTGAAGTAGGAGAATCGCTTAAACCCATGAAGCGGAGGTTGCAGTGAGCCGAGATCCCGCCACTGCACTCCAGCCTGGGCAACAGAGCAAGACTCTGTCTAAAAAAAAAAAAGGAAGTGGGAAGGCAGCATAAAGGAAGCATGGCCATCATAGGGACTTTTACTTTCCCCCTTCAGGAAAAGGGAAGTCAGGCAGGAGTAGGAACAAAGGAGCCAAGTGATGAGGTGCAACCAGCTGAAGGTTGGGCTGGGATCAGGAAATCTGCTTTCAAGTTCACTCAGGGGACTATTGGCAGAAGGTGAAGTTCCTTGTCACATGGACCCCTTTGTGGGTTTATGTATGACATGGCATCTGACTTCCCCCGGAGAAACAGGCAGAGAGACAGACAGACACAGGACAGACAAATTCAGAGGGAGACAGAGACATGGACAGATGCAGAGAGAGAGAGGCAACCACAAATTCAGAGAGAGAGAGAAATAGAGAGGAAGGCACAGAAAGAGACAGAGAGAGACACAGAGACTGACAGTGAGACAGCAACACAGACAGACGTAGGCAGACACTGATGTGGTTTGAGTGTTTGTCCCTCTGCGTCTCATGTTGAAACGTGATCCCCAGTGTTGGAGGTGGGGCCTGCTGAGACATGTTGGTTGGGCCATGTGGCAGATCCCTCATGAATGACTCAGTGCCCTCCCCGTGGTGATGAGTGAGTTCTTGCTCTGTGAGTTCACAAAATAACTAGTTATTTAAAGGAGGCTGGCATGTCCTTCTCTTTTTTTGGAGACAGAGTCTCACTCTGTCATCCAGGCTGGAGTATAGTGGCAAGATCTCTGCTCACTGCAACCTCCACCTCCTGAGTTGAAGCGATTCTCCTGCCCTAGCCTCTCAAGTAGCTGAGACTACAGGCATGCGCCACTACATCCAGCTAATTTTTGTATTTTTAGTAGAGACGGGGTTTTACCATGTTGGCCAGGCTGGTCTCAAACTCCTGACCTCAGGTGATCCGCCTGTCTCAGCTTCCCAAAGTGCTGGGATTACAGGAGTGAGCCACTGTGCCTGGTCCCTCCTCTTTCCCTCTCTCTGGCCATGTGATGCGCCTGCTCCTCCTTCGTCTCCTGCCATGATTTTAAGCTTCCTGAGGTCCTCACAGAAGCCAAGCAGATGCGGGCACCGTGCTTGTATGGCCTGCAAAACTGTGAGCCAAATAAACCTCTTTTCTTTATATATTATCCAGCCTCGGGTATTTCTTATAGTAAAGCAAAACAGACTAATACAAACACCTACCATACAAAGAGAGAAAGAGAGAGAGAGACAAAGAGGCAGAGATTCAGCGACAGAGATCAAAGGACAGAAAGTCAAAGAAACAGACGGACAGGGAGGCTCTCACTTCTGCTTTATTCTGTTGGTTGGAGCAAGCCACTAAGTCCAGCCAACATGCAGCAGGAGGAGACGGACGCACACTGGAAAGAATACCAGAGCTGGGGACCATTGGAAACAGTCCAGGGCAAAGAGGACAAGGGTAAAAACCAGAGAAATTGGTCAGAAGGCTCCTGCAGCAATTGCCTCTCACCATGAGAGTAGCAGCAGAGGAGAGAGAAGTGCTAGGTATATTTGGGGTGGGTTCTTACCAACAGGATTTCCTGACTTGTTAGATGTGAAGTATGTGAGTAGGTAATTGGGTAAGGATTGCTCCAAGGCTTTTGGCTTGAGTAACCGAAGAATGGAGACTACTAACCTGTCTCTATGGATTCCTATTCTAGATATTTCATATAAATGAAATCATACAATATGTGGCTGTTATGTCTGGCTTCTCCCACTTGGTGTATTTTCAAGGTGCATTCGTGTTGCAGCATGTATTAGTACTTTGTTCTTGTTTATGGCTGAATAATATTCCATCGTATAAATATATCACTTAGTCTTTCTCCATTCTTTAGTTGATGAACATTGGGTTGTTTCCACTTTGGGGCTAAAACACAGGATGATGCTATGAACATCTATGGATACAAATTTGATAGTTTTCGCTTCTTTTGAGTATATACCTGGGAGTTGAATGGCTGTATCATATGCTAATTCTATGGTCAACTTTTTGAGAAATCACCAAACTCCTTTTCACAGCAGCTGCACCATTTTATATTCCTGCCAGCAATGTACAAAAGTTCCAATTTCTCTACCTCCTCGTCAACACTTGCTATTGTCTTTTTTACTTTAGCCATTCTTGTGATTGTAAAGTAGCATCTCACTGTGGTTTTGATTTGCATATCTCTCATGATGAATGATGTCACACATCTTTTATGTGCTTTTTTCCCATTTGTATTTTTTTGAAGAAATGTCTATACAAGTCCTTTGCCCATATATAAAATTTCTTTTTATATAAATCGTCTCTTTGTTGAATTGTACGTTTTTTATATAACCCAATACTACATTCTTATCAGACATAGGATTTGCAAATATTTTCCCTCATTCTGTAAGTTATCTTTTCTCTATCTTAATAGTGTCCTTTGGCGTGTGAAGTTTTTAATTTTTATGAAGTCCAATTTATTTACTTTTTTATTGCTTCTCTGGACAGACTATAAATACTTATCCAGGTAAAAATGCAATAGCATTATCAGAAGGAGGTGAGAATAGATTCCAAGTGGGAAAAATAACACACTGCCACTGCAATGAGCAACGTCACAGGTTGTTAGACAATTTAAATGAGATTACAATACCAAGCACTTAGCACAGAGTGAATGCCCGGCAATTGTTAGCGCTTATGATTTGAAGCTAGCACAAGTGTTTGATATGTAATTTTGAAAAGAATAAATATGGTGCAGGCAGGTGCCACTGTTCTTCCTCTTGGTCTCTGTCCAGAGTAACCCTGGATCATCTGTGGAGGGAAGGCTGAAAGAAAAATGGTATTGAAAGCATCCATGCTGGAAAAGAATGTGAATGGTTTTAACTGTTCCTCCTTTCCCTGACATGGCAATAGTTTAAAAGTTTAGTCTTTATAGCAGAATGATTTATAATCCTTTGGATATATACCCAGTAATGGGATTGCTGGGTCAAATGGTATTTCTATTTCTAGGTCCTTAAGGAATCGCCACACTGTCTTCCACAATGGTTGAACCAATTTACACTCCCATTAACAGTGTAAAAGTGTTCCTATTTCTCCACATCCTCTCCAGCATCTGTTGTCTCCAGATTTTTTTATGATCGCCATTCAAACTGGCGTCAGATGGTATCTCAGTGTAGTTTTCATTGCAGCATTGTTTACAATAGAAAAGACCTGGATCCAACCCAAATGCCCATCGATGATAGACTGGACAGGGCAAATGTGGCACATATACACCATGGAATATTATGCAGCCATCAAAAACGAGTTTGTGTCCTTTGTAGGGACATGGATGAACCTGGAAACCATCATTCTCAGCAAACTGACACTAGAGCAGAAAATCAAACACCACATGTTCTCACTCATAGCCGGGTGTTGAACAATGAGAACACATGGACACAGGGAGGGGAGCACTACACACTAGGGTCAGTTGGGGAGAAATGGGAGAGGGACAGTGGGGGGTGGGGAGTTGGGGAGAGATAGCATGGGGAGAAACGCCAGATATGGGTGAAGGGGAGGCAGGCAGCAAATCACACTGCCATGTGTGTACCTATGCAACAATCTTGCATGTTCTTCACATGTACCCCAAAACCTAAAATGCAATAAAAAAAATGGACATAGAAAAAAAAAAAGTTTAGTCTTTAGGGAGGAAAATATGTTTAGGATCCTGAATTTACAAATACTATTTTCCTCAATAGGTCTTATACTGTTAATACTTGAAGCTGAGTTTTAGATGCATGTAAACAGAATCTGAAACCCCCAAAATTGTCCTCCATTGTTTCTGTTTTAATTCTGGGGCAAGTAGCTATTGGTTCACTTTTAAGAGAAACATTTTTAAGAGAAGCCTCCTTGGCCAGGTGTGGTGGCTCATACCGGTCATCTCAGCACTGAGAGGCAGTGGTGGGCAGATCACCTGAGGTGAGGAGTTCGAGACCAGCCTGGCCAACATGGTGAAATGCCGTCTCTACTAAAAATACAAAAATTAGCTGGGAATGGTGGCACACACCTATAATACTACCTACTCGGGAGGCTGAGGCAGGAGAATCAGCTGAATCTGAATCGGCGGAGGTTACAGTGAGCTGAGGTAGATTGTGTCACTACACTCCATCCTAGGTGACAGAGCAAGACTTTGTCTCAAAAAGAAGAAAAGAGAAAAAAGAAGTCTCCCTTGTCTGAGTTGATATTAACACCATCTGCTGCTGTCACTCTTGGGTTTCTCCCCAGTGTTCATTGGCCTGCCTTCTTTGCTTATTGAAGGTGATTTTGTCCACATTTCCTTGAGTAACCAAATCATTCTGGTGAGTATGGGACCCCTTGCAACCCTCCAGAGACAGAATCTCAATGTGCCTAAGCCAATCAAAGAGGCTAGTCTCTCTTCTGACCCAGTGATGGTTTAGGAATGATACTGACCCTCTTCTGGTTAAAAACATGTAAACAGGCTGGGCATAGTGGCTCATGCCTATAATCCCAACACTTTGGGAAGCCAAGATGGGTGGATCACATGAGGTCAGGAGTTTGAGACCACCCTGGCCAACACAGTGAAACCCCATCTCTACTAAAACAAACAAACAAAAAAATCCAAAAAAATTAGCGAGGCATGGCAGTGCACACCTATAGTCCCAGCTACTCAGGAGGCTGAGGCGGGAGAATCGGTAGAACCTGGGAGGCAGAGGTTGCAGTTAGCCAAGATCGCACCATTGTGCCTCAGCCTGGGCAACAGAGCAAGACTCCATCTTGGAAAAAAAAAAGAGAAAGAAAAGAAAACATGTGAACAAAAGCCTGCTATGCATCTTCTGGGAAAGGTGTCCTCAGAAATAAAACAGAGGCAATGGAAGGAAATGCTCTTTTTCTTGCTGTATGTCATCATGTCTACGGGCAAAGCCTGAAACTGTTGTAGCCAACTTGGTGATCCCAAGAGGAGTCTATTGTGTTCAATCTGGCAGTGCAGGGAGCACCTGGGTCTTCTGTTGGTGCCGTTGAGCAAATTACCCAATCAGGTATTTATCCCATCTTCAGGCTTCTCAGTGCATTAGCGAGAAAAATGTCATTTCTGCTGAGCACACTGTTAATTGAGTTTTATGTTGCTTGTAGCTAAAAGTACCCTGAAGGATGCATCTTTCAGAAGGGACCCACATAGGAGAGCCATGGTGGAAGGGGACACCCACCTACTTGGGCATATTGCTGAATCAATCCTTGGGACCACTGTGATGAAGATGGGGCAAGTAGCTATTGGTTCATTTTTAAGAGACACCTCCTTGGCCAGCTGCAGTGGCTCACACCAGTCAACTCAGCACTGGGAGGCCAAGGTGGACGGATCACACAGTTTGATTGCCCAGAGACTCTGAAAAAGAAAAACAAAATCAACAAAACTCTCATCATTTTCGTGAGGATTCATAGACAAACAAGATCAGACATGAAAAAGAGAGAGTGAAAGAAAGGAGACTGGATTCTTTATAAAATAAGAAAAGAAATAACACAGAAAAACCATAAAAACAGACATTCAAAGCTCCCAATGCTATCATCCCTCAGGAAACTCTCCTGTTCTCATTATTTGAATGGGGAAGAGAAAAAAGCAGCCAAAAAGTAAATTCTTGAACCACTATAGACCCTGAGCGCATTAATTCTCTAATAAATATGAATTAAATCTCTCCTATGTAGTAGGCATAGGAGAGGAGAGAAATTCAAATGGGTGGAACAGAGCATTAGTCAGAGTTCTCTAGAGAAACAGAACCAGTGGGATGTGTAGATGCATCAAAAGAGACTTATTGCTGTAAGAAACTGGCTTATATGATGACAGGGGTGACAAGTCCCAGGATCTGCAGTCAGCAAGCTGGACAGGCAGGACAGCTGATGTTTCTGTTCAAACCCTAATGCAGGAAAAAAACTGATGTCTGACCTCAAGGCAGTAGGAATTTCCTCTTTTAGGGGTTTGGGGAAGTCAGCCTTTTGTTATATTGAAGTATTTAACTGATTGAATGAGCCCCATCCATATTAAGGAGGGCAATCTGCTTTATTTAATTTAGCAATTTAAATGTTAACTTTATCCCAAAACACCCTTACAGCAATACCTAGAATAATGTTTGACCAGCTATCTGGGCACCCCATGAGCTAGTCCAGTTGCCAAGTAAAATTAACTATCACAAGTAGCAACAGCTTTTTTCTGAAAATACAGCCTTTCCTTCCTTCCTGTGAGTTACCCTTAAACCCTGAACTTCTTATTACATTAACAAAACACCACCCAAGTTGCTACCTGTCTTTCTTATCTTGCTACTTGAAGCAGCTCTGCCACCACGCTTCACCTTGAAATTCCCCAGGTCTGGTTTTCTGTGGAATTTAGCATTACAATGAACACATTTACATATCTGGGTGTTTCCTATTTTTTGTTATGGAATACGTAGCTTATAAAATCACAGACATGGGAAGCAGAGTGAAGAGTCTTCCATCAGTACACTGGGTTAATATGCTTTGTGTGTTCTGAGTATCCACACGGGGTGAGGGTTGTTTCTTGCATCATTAAATTGCTGGCTTATTGGAAGCTATTTCTTATTTATCTTTGGGTCCCCTGTGCCCTATTTCTGTGCTTTGCACAGAGCAGACATTCAGGAACTATTTGTTGATTTGGATATTAAGCTATGTGTTTCTTTTGAGAAGATCACTTTATATAACCAAGTTATATTGCCCTCCAGAGCTCTGAAAATATTTTAGTAAGTCTCTTTTTTAGTAAGTCACTTGATGTCAGCCTGGTAAAGTTGAGAGGTTGAGGGCACAGACTTGGAAATTGCAACCATTTGGGTGTAAGCCCTAGTTTTTGCAGTTACTGAGTTAACTCAGCCATGTTTCTTAACCTCTTTAAGCCTGAGATTATTTTTCTTCTGTAAGGAAAAATGTGTGTTTCAGTGCCAAGCTATGCATTGTCTCAGAAACACCTCTGCAAGTTATCTGATTCTAATCTTATGTAAGTTGTAGATAACTGATAATTAGGCACAGTGCTTGCTGTCTGTAGACATGCAATTTCTGTTCTGTTCTACGGAAGTCCACGGAAGGAGCCAGTTTTGCCTCCATTTGTCATTTATTCCAGCATCCCCAATCTATAAATGTATCTGTTTTTTGACTTCTCCTTTGAACCATTATAACATTTACTTGGTTTCTCCATTATAAGTAAAATAAAAATGTTTATCAGATGTTCATCTTATATCTGCATAAGGGTCATGGTTTTCCTTATTTTTTTTAAAAAGATCAGCCTTTACAGCACTCCTCTGTAACATGGGGAAATAACGCTGATGAATTCGAGTGTGAGTGATCAGATGCGATGTGCACCTGCATTGGACACTCCTTGCTCCATTCTCTTTTTTTTTTTTTTTTGAGACGGAGTTTCGCTCTTGTTACCCAGGCTAGAGTGCAATGGCGCGATCTCGGCTCACCGCAACCTCCGCCTCCTGGGTTCAGGCAATTCTCCTGCCTTAGCCTCCTGAGTAGCTGGGATTACAGGCACGTGCCACCATGCCCAGCTAATTTTTTGTATTTTTAGTAGAGACGGGGTTTCACCATGTTGACCAGGATGGTCTCGATCTGTTGACCTCGTGATCCACCCGCCTCGACCTCCCAAAGTGCTGGGATTACAGGCTTGAGCCACCGCGCTCGGCCTGCTCCATTCGCTAGAACGCAGACAGAGCGATCCTGTTGAATCCTAAGTCAGATCCTAGACTCAGGGTGCTACAGTGGCTCCCAGTGCACGCAATCCTGACACACTCCCTGGGATCTCACAGCACCGTCTTTGTGTCCCACTTACCCTTCCTTCACTTCTCTCTGGCCACACAGGTCTCTTGACTGCTCTGCAGACACACAGGATTGCTCCTGCCTCAGGACCTTGGTACAGGCTGCTCCCTCCACCCGGGTTCCTATTCCCTCACTCATCCACACAGCTGATCCCTCACTTCAGCCCTTTACTCAGATGTCACCTCTGCAGGGGGGTCCTCCTAGTATCCGTACAGAATTCCAGTCCACCCACTTCTCAACCAACACCTCCTCTTCCCACGTTCTGCCTCAGTCTCCTTAATGCTTACTACTTCCTGGCAATCTAGTTTTGTGGTGGTTGTTTTCTTTAAGCCTGTTTTGAAAATTATTTTTAATTTAACTTTTGTTTTGTGTTCAGGGGTACATGTGGATATTTGCTACATAGGTAAACTTGTGACATGGGAGTTTGTTGTACAGATTATTTTGTCACCCAGGTATTAAGCCTAGTACCCATTAGTTGTTTCTCCTGATCACCCCCACCCTTCAATAGGCCCCAGTGTATATTGTTCCCAATATACACTGTTCCCAATATACACTGTGTGTTCTCATCATTTAGCTCCCACTTACAAACAAGAACATGTGGCATTTGGTTTTCTAGCCCTGTATTGGTTTGCTAAGGATAATGGCTTCTAGCTCCATCCATGTCCCTGCAAAGGACATGATCTCATTCTTTTTTATGGTTGCATAGTATTCCACGGTGTATAGGTTCCACATTTTCTTTATCCAGTCTACCACTGACAGGCATTTAGGTTGATTCCATGTCTGTGCTATTGTGAATAGTGCTGCACTGAACATACGTGTGCCTTTATTTTAGAAAGATTTCTATTCCTTTGGGTGTATACCCAGTAATGGGATTGCTGGGTTGAGTGGTATTTCTATTTTTAGGTCTTTGAGGAATTGCCACACTGTCTTGACAATCTATATCATACTAATTTATGGCATGTATTCTTGCTTTCTCACTAGCATATATGAGGGCAGGGATTTTACTATCATGTCCTCTGCCATATTCTCAATGCCTAGAACAATGTCTTACACGGAGTAGGCCTTCAGTAAATGAATGCCATGAGGTCATTTGCATCCAGTGCTGAACCCAATGCTTGGCAGATAGAAAGGGCCCCAAAAATGCTGAAGAAGGTGAGGAGGAAGGAAGATTGGGAGAGGACGTGGATCCCTTAAGAGACGATGAGACAGGAAGCAAGTCAGCACATTCAGAAACACCTCTTGTGGGCCATCAGAGGGAAGATTCCAAGGGAGCTGCACTTGTTCTTCTCAGATGAGGTTTTTCATTAGGTGTCCATTAAACTCTTGTAGGTACTTGGCACATTCCACATCCCACCTAGTGCTGTTTTCTGTTGGAAGTCAAAATCGTCTATTTGGGAGAGCACTGATAGTTGAGGGTGAGATGGGGAGAATATCGAGGGAAAAGGATCAGAAAGATGATTTGAGTCCACTTCGCACGTTTTCCTGCCACACTTGAGCAATTTAGGAAAATTGGCACAAATAAATGGAGATTACTTTCCCCTGAAATACTTGATTGCAGAAGTGAAAGATAATTTTTCCTTGGTCGAGAGCTATGCAGGGGAAGGTCAGCCAATGCAGCTGTAGATGATGGAGCTCCGTGATGATCTTCCAGTTGTGCGGATTCCGGCTGCGGGCTTTCCTGCCTCCCTGTGGCACCATGTGCAATGCTTTTAAAAACCTCAGGCCATTAACCAGCTGGCCTCAGAGAGGGTCATCATCTTGGCCCTGACAACTCTACTTTTGAAAACTATGTTTGATTTTTATTGATTCAGATTAGAACCTGAAATCAATACGAAACTGAATTTTGTGCCTAAAATGGTTTGCAAACAAGTCAAATTTTTAAAATCTCCCTTTCAATTAATTCCTCTGCTAATTAGTTTTAGCTTTAATTGATTTTGAACTCATTTTGAGGCACTTAACAGGAGCAAGCAGCCTCTCTTCTTTCATCTCCTTCAGCGAATTCATCCAATTAAAAACACATTACCACATTTTCATGTAAAGAATTGGGTCGCCATTTTGTTTTTTAAAAGTGCTAAACCTTAACCACTGTGGCTACATTATACTAGAACTAGTTTCTGAGTTTGTATCAACTCAGTGGTTCTTTCTCTTGCTGGGTGATAGATCCAGAAGACGAGCCCCATCTTTCCGGCTTCATCTATCAAAACTTTCCTTCTCCCCTTGATGCCAATGGGCTATGCTCCAAGATTTTGCCCTGCCTGTTATGGCCCTTCCAACTTCCAGAGAAGGAGTATTGATTCACTTATTCACTCATGTATTCTATTTTTTTGCTTTTAACAAATATTTACTGAAGGACACTAGCTTACTAAGCATTGTCTAGGCAGGTACATTCTAAGACAGTCACCATCAGCCACAGATAGCTACTGAACCCTAGAAATGGGGCTTGTCCACACAGAGATGTGTTGAAATTATAAAATACACATCTGAGGCCTGGCGCTGTGGCTCACACCTGTAATCCCAGCACTTTAGGAGGCTGAGGCGGGTGGATCACCTGCGGTCTGGAGTTCAAGACCACCCTGGCCAGCACGGTGAAACCCCATCTCTACTAAAAATCCAAAAAGCTAGCTGGGTGTGGTGGCATGCACCTGTAATCCCAGCTACTTGTGAGGCTGAAGCAGGAGAATCTCTTGAACCCGGGAGGCAGAGGTTGCAGTGAGCCGAGATCGTGCCATTGCACTCCAGCCTGGAGAACAAGAGCAAAACTCCATCTCAAAAAAAAATAACCCACACATTTGATTTTAAAGATAGAGTGTGAGAAAAAGTGTAACATATATCAATGATTACAAGTTGATTTATTTTTATTATATTGTACTAAATAAAATATGGCAATTCCATCTGTTTCTTTTTTCCTTTTTGATGTGGCTACCGGAAATTTTTAAATATTTTGTTCCAACCGTGCTGGTTTAGGTGTCGGGGACACAGCAGACAACAAAACAAATAAAAGATCCTGTTTTTATGCAACTTCTGTTCTAATGGAGAGAAAACAGACCTCAAAAGAAGGAGTAAAGTGTATAGTATGTCATATTGTGATACGTGCTATGGAAAAACAGTAAGGCAGAAAGGGATGCTGGAGACTAAGAGGGAAAGAGACATTCCATTAAATAGGGATGTCAGGAAGAACCCATCAAAATTAGACACTCTTGGGAGAAGAGGATGATTCAGGGAAAGACAAATTGTCAGTAAGGTCTCTGCTAGTCAGGACTTTTAAGCTGACAAAACTCCTACTAGGTTAAGGCAAAAAGGTTTCTTTTCAGCTCATGTAAATGGGGAGTCCATGGGTGGATATAGCTTCAGGGACTCCACACAAACTTTTTTTTTTTTCCCCTGAGATGGAGTCTTGTTCTGTCACCCAGGCTGGAATGCAGTGGTGTGATCTTGGCTCACTGCAACCTCCACCTCCAGGGTTCAAGTGATTCTCCTGTCTCAGCCTCCCGAGTAATTGGGATTACAGGCTCCCGCCACCACACCTGGCTAATTTTTCCTTTTTTAGTAGAGATGGGGTTTTACCATGTTGGCCAGGCTAGTTTCAAGCTTCTGACCCCAGGTGATTTGCCTGCCTCAGCCTCCCAAAGTGCTGGGATTACAGGCGTGAACCACCGCACCTGGCCCATCCCCTCTTCTAAATCCTTATTATCTGCAGAGAAGTAAACCAATGGTTATCAGACTTTAGCAGCATCAGCATTACCTGGTGGGCTTGCTCACACCGGGATGGGTGGACTCCCCGGCCCCGGAGTTTCTGATTCAGAAGGTCAGAGAGACCTAAACATCTGCATTTCTGCTGGATGGAAATGTCATTTAAAAATTTCCAGTAACCACATCAAAAAGTACAAAATAAACAGATGGGATTAATTTCAATAGCATATTTTCTTTAGCATAATATAATAAAAATAGAAACACATCAACTCATAATCATTGAGATATGTTACATTCCTTTCCTTTCACACTGTGTCTTTAAAATCAGATGTATATTTCATTATTCCAGCACGTCTCAGTGTGGACCAGTCCCATTTCAAGGGCTCAGAAGTCATCTGTGGCTGAGGCCGTCTGGGAACGTGCCAGCCTAGACAATGCTTGATTCTGGAGTCCTTCAGTAAATATTTATTTAAAGACAAAAGAATACATGGGTAAATAAGTGGATCAGTACTCACCAGGTGATACTGACACAGCCAGTCCAGGGACCGCCCTCTGAAAACCACCGTGCTGGATGACACCTAAATTTTTAAAATCAACAAATGGAGGGATAAGCATACTATTAGAAAACATGGGGATAACATGAGTTAAAAGAGCAAAAAGAAGTTGTCTCAGGGAAGTTAGGATCAGGCGTGAGAGGAGGGGGCAGGAGACCATGGTGTTTGTTATAAGCCTTATAGTAGGAATAGGTGTGTATCCTTTCAAAAAAAAAAAAGATGGACTCCCAGAAAGAAGATGAATTGGCCACTAGAAGGTTTCTGCTGTGTGTTTCTGAGAAATGGCCATACATCCGCCATTCCTCCTCCGAGCCGACTCTGGCCCCACCGTGACATGAGCTGGGCTGAGTTCCTGGTACTTCCTGTGTGGCTTGTTACTTACAACACATGAAAATGCACAAGGTTTTCTTCTCACCACTGACCTCAGTCTCTGCCGCAGGAAGAAGAAGAAAAGCTTTGGCCCGAAAAGGCTCTTCAAGGATACAAGGGGGTCGCCAGATTACAGCGTGCAGCTTTCAGGAGATGACTAAAAGAATGATGACTGATAGCCAAGGACGGAAGCCAGTCCCTCTTGCTGACCTGTGCCCTCCTCCGCAGCAGCGCTGTTCTTTCTCAGCCCTCCTGTGGTGAGGGTGTGACTATCCCTTGGGAAGGCATGGCAGGATGAGAGTAAGAGCACGAAAGAGATAGAGAGACAAACAGTGGCTTGCAGTCAATACTCAGCGGTTTGGGCAGGCTTCTCTCCTCCTTGGGTTGAATTTTCTATACTTCCCCTCTCTGTCAGCAAGATATGACTTCCAGGGCTCAGATCAGAGCAGTGTACTTAGCTATTAGGATAATTGCATTTGCCCAGGATTGAGGTGGTGCCCAGGACACAGGATCTTCAGAAAGCCCCAGGCAAACAGGGTAAGTTGGTCACCCTATTAGATATAATCAGGCATATACACTAAGATTACCTGTGAGGTATCTATGGTGGCACTATATAATACCAGACAATTAGAAAACAATTAAATTAACAAATACTTATTTGGCATTACTCTGTGCCAGGGACCATCCTACATGCTTAGGACAGAGCCATGAACAACACAGACAACACTATATCTAATTATACTAAATAAAGTATGATATAGCCACACCACAGGCTATTATGCAACCTACGAAAAACTGCCATGGGGAAGGAAATCTTAAATTACATCAAGGATGACCACGAGATGAAGTTCAGGGGAATAGATGTAGAAGGCATCTTTTGTTTTTGCCTGCCTGGCACGTATTCACTCTGCCACTGGTGACACCTTTGCTTTGGGGAATTTCCCTGCTCCTATCCCAGTGACTTGGAAAGGGCTGTCATTCAGGGTGTGTGTGTGTGTGTGTGAGGACCATCACATAGATTGCTCCGGCTGGGCGCTGCACAATCCTAGACTACTAGAAGCATGCTCCCAAAGCTTACACAGTACGTAACGTGGGCAATGATACCAGTGGCCCAGGCACATGACCCAGCTACTCCAATCAGATCTCTCTCTCTCGCAGCTACTCCAGTCAGACCTCTCTCTCCCAGCTACTCCAATCAGATCTCTCTCTCTCCCAGCTACTCCAGTCAGACCTCTCTCTCCCAGCTACTCCAATCAGATCACTCTCTCCCAGCTACTCCAATCAGACCTCTCTCTCCCAGCTACTCCAATCAGATCCCTCTCTCCCAGCTACTCCAATCAGATCACTCTCTCCCAGATACTCCAATCAGATCACTCTCTCCCAGATACTCCAGTCAGACCTCTCTCTCCCAGATACTCCAATCAGACCACTCTCTCCCAGCTACTCCAGTCAGACCTCTCTCTCCCAGCTACTCCAGTCAGACCTCTCTCTCCCAGCTACTCCAGTCAGACTTCTCTCTCCCAGCTGCTCCAGTCAGACCTCTCTCTTCCAGCTGCTCCAGTCAGACCTCTGTCTCCCAGCTACTCCAATCAGACCTCTCTCTCTCAAGTTCAGATCTCAAGTGGAATGCCTCCCTGCCAGAAAACAGTGGGAACTGAGTCTTCCCAATGAAGACACCCTAAA